CATCAACAGAAGTCGAAGTCCAGAGAGTCCTATGTTGACAAGTTGAAAAGAGGATGGAGTTTGCATACAAGACTGCCCAAGAAACCTCCATCAAACAAGGACAGAGACACAAGACCTACTATGATGCTAAGGTTCGACACTCTACTTTAGATGTTGGAGACAGGGTCCTCATCAGGAACGTTACCCCTAAAGGCAAGTTAGACGACAAGTGGGAGAAGGAACCTTACATCATAGTAGGCATCCCCAATGAAGACATACCAGTCTACAAGCTGAAGAAGGAAGCTGGCAAGGGAAAAGAGAAGACCCTACATAGAAACCTCCTTCTTCCTCTGATGTCTATACCGTACACTTACGATGAGACACAGAGTGAAAAGCAGGTTTCTAAGCCAAAAGCCAGACCAGACAGAAGGGAACAGACTACAGGAGTTGTACCAGAGCAAGAGTCAGACTCAGACTGCAGCACAGGAAGTGAAACTCCTAGATACATTCCTCCACATAGAAGACCAGCATCCAAGCCTCGTGTACTAAGACCGGTGCAGCCAACCAACAATACACATGTTGTTTGTGAGGATCAGTTGTCATCTACTGGTGGAGAGATGTCATCTTTGTCAAGGAATTTAAGAAGTCAACATGTTTCTCCAAATTTACATTTTAGAGATAATTATTCTGTTAATAATCTAAATTCTGTTATTTCAGGTGGAAACCAATCTAGTAGTTCCCATAATAATATTTCATCAAATACATGTAGTAATTTAAATACTAATGTTTCTAATGGTAACAATTTTTCTCTTGTTACAGATGACCCCAGTATTGTTAGAAGGTCATCAAGGGTTAGAAAACCACCAAATAGGTATGGTGAGTGGGTTAGACCCATTACAGCAAATGTTGATTTTCAAAATCATGACATTTTGTATCCTCAATCTTTTGCAGATCAGGGGAGAATGTCACATAATAGATATGACTTTTGATTTTCCATATAAATTATTGAAATATTGTATTTCAGTTTTGATTTATATGTGTTTTGTTTACTGAACTTAATTTCTGTGTTTTACATTACAGAATAGTTATAAAGTTTCAGGTTTAAACATGAAATCTATATCAGAAATCATTATTATTTCTGTGTGTGCAATTTACATTTCAGATTTTCGAGAGAGTACAAGTAAATGAAATATGTATATTGCATTTCGAAATGTTAAGGTTAATGATTCATATTAAATGCATTTCTTTTTGATATTTTATCTGAATTTTGTGTCTGAAAATGTTATATTTATCTTTTCAGAAAATATGGTGCAGTACCTTTAATGTTGACAAATTTAGTGTTGTACCTTTAACATGCTAAATGTCAATATGTGCCTTTAATGTACCATTACTCTTGGAGTCATGTTATTCTTATATATCTATTTCAGTATACATTAATGAGATAGAGTATGTTTTTAAATGTGTTTTATTATAGGTTGATGCAAATTGGAAAATGATTGTTGATATTTTCATTTTCAGCAAATGATTGTTGATATTTTAATTTTCAGCAGATGTATTATTTTCGCAATTGTTTATTGATTAGAAACTTTTCAGATGTTCAGAATCTTAACTTCAGTAATTGTTTTGGAAAATTTTGGCTTAAAATTTAAAATTAATTTCAGTTTAATTATTAAATAAATATTGCTGAAATTTACTTGAATTTACTTAAATAGGTTAGGTAGTATTAATTTAAATGTATTTTAACTTGTTGATAGATTCTGTAAATTAATTAATGTAGGAAAATGTCAGGAGCCATTTTCTCCTACCAGGGGAGAATGTCACAGATTGAAATTATATGGTAATGGCAGCCGTGGCTTTCCATAGTTTTATTTAAGCGGAAACAATCATGCATGCGCGTTTTATTCGGTTTCGTTTAGGTTTTATCGTATAAGTTTAACTTCCGGTATGAATCGGTGAAAATCGACAATTTCCGTCAATGATGTACATTGTCGATCTCACCCGTGCAATATCGTGAAACACTGGTCACTTCGTTGTTTCTTGTAACTTATCCAATTGGTGTGTTTTGTTATGTATGATTCTATGTGAGAGATATCCATTGGTTTCTTTTAAATATTCTTTAATTCTGCGCACTGTTTGCTTTTTCCTGTCCCGCTCACTCTTTACAGTCATCTCTTACGAGTCAGACATAGTAAAAACTTAACATTTATATAGATCTACATTTACTTTACCTATTTCAATTTATATTGAAATAGTTTAATTACAGACGCTGTGGTAAGAATAGTATTGATATTAGAATATTAATTGTATTTCTTATGTATTTTCTTATTCCGCGTCGATTGTGTATATATTGTTATTTCATTGTATTTTGTTTTTCTATGTATTGTATTTGTAAGATGTATAATTATTTTATTATATTTTTAGACCATTTTTATTTGGAGTCATTAAAAACATCGAACCTACGCCCAGAGTTTGTTTCTTTCTACAAGAAATATTTGACCCTGTGACACGATGATGAAAACACGACAGAACGATGATGAAAACGCGATAGTACGATGGTGAAAACGCAAAAGTACGATGATGAAAACACGACAGTACGATGATGAAAACGCGAAATCACGGTATTACGATGGTGAAAATGCGAAAGTATGATGATGAAAACACGATAGTTAATTGTATTATCACCATCGTACTTTCGTATTATCGCGTTTTCGTTATCGTACTGTCGTGTTTTCATCATCGTACTGTCGTGTTTTCACCATCGTGGTTTCGTTATTTCGTGTTTTCATCATCGTACTTTCGAGTATCGTGTTGCAGATCAAACCATTCATAGGCGATGGCACTAACGGCATTCCGTAGCACAGTGTTCCGATAGTGTAAAAAAGTAATTCTAGAAAAAAAAGTTGATATATAACATGTTAACTATATATTTTTTCTAGAATTACTTTTTTACACTATCCCAACACTGTGCCGGGTCCTTATGGCCCGAATATGGAGACCCTTATTTGTTTTTTTTAGATAGGTTTTACTTTTAATTCTTTTCAACGTTACCTCAAGAGACAATCGTAACATATTTCAATAAGTAATTTTAAATTTAGTCTTAACAGTATCTCGTTGTTGTCTTTTACAAAGAAGTGCAAATTAAAAAAACATTTAAGGAAAGGGGTTACGCCCATGGGACGAAACTCTACATGAAATGTAAATAAACTGATTTTATGGCTTTTGTAACATGCTACGTGATGACAAAAAGGAAACTGTATGACAAAGAACAGAAGAACAGAATTCCATTTGAATATTAATATGTTTCATGCGTTTACGGTTCATGAAAGATCAATACGTGAATTGAGTTAATTGTTTTAATTTCAGTTACACCCCATATATTGGCCTCTTCATAACAGGCATGGCTGCCGTGTCTATTTCTAGTGACATACTGGGTTTTTCAAATATCTTAACCTTGCCATTCAATAGTGGTAGCTTCCTTGTTTGTTATTTAAAGATTAATTTCAATTCACGACTTCAAAAAAATTTGAACAATGTCCGGTAAATTGAGTTGTTTACACGATTTTTCCCTTTTATAATGTCCTACTTTAAAGACATATTTCTACGGTCAAATGTTCAATTTCGTATTGATAAAGAAATGTTTACGTGCATAAAGAACCCAAAATTATTTGGGTAAAATGCCATTCTTTTTGCGACGGACGCGCCCTCAGGCGCGTTCAGAGCTAAGTCATCTACACATGGGATTTCGTTGGCTACACTCGCGCAATGTGTCCTAAACCAATTAACAGCCCAAGAAATAGTACATGAATTTGATCCTTCAAAACTCCCATACTTTGTCTGGATATCTTAATTTCTTCCATATTTAGCCTTTTCAATTTCAAATTAAGTTATCCAAGTTAAAATATGAACGTATATTATTGATAAAAACGTTGTAGTCCCGTAGTATTATTGCGCAATATGCAAATTACTGCTGAAACGATTTACCGCTGTCGAAAAAGTAGGACAGCAAATTATACTACAATAAAGGTGTAACCTCTGAGTTCCAAGACATTATTAGTAGGAAATAAATATTTCTACATTATACAAAACATTATTATTAACAAATCAAAAGTTTTTCGTGACTCTAGGATAACTCGCGCATTAATAAAAGAAGAACTATTTTCGTGACTCATACCGCGGGTTTAGCTGAATATTCAGCAGTTATTAATATATTAGATACAGTTCAATGGCTAGTATAAATATCTATTTTTGAAAATGCATGTAAGACACTTTACCGCCATGTAGTCTTGAAATCATGGTAAGGAAGTTATAATATCAGTTCTACTTCCGATTCTCGTGGTTTGTTTACATATTTTACTAGGTCATGATATGAGTTAACCTTCGATATTCTAAAAATAGATTCTGCTTTACCTGTTCTGATTTTTGGACAGGCGATTAGGAAGTACACATTAATAGTAATTAATAAACCAGCGGATTGTAATGCAATACTTTTAGAAATGCTATACAATTGTAAGAAAGCAAACAAGTTGAAAATGGAATTTAGTGTGAAGTTGAAAAGGACAAGTAAACACTGTAGTGCTTAAGTGACATTTAAATTAAAATAAAAAACGATGTGCTCTGGCCTCTACATCTTTACCTTGTAAATAAAAAAATCTAAGAAATACACTATTAATTGCTGATGATTTTAACCAATTTTTTTTTAATGAGACATATCCAAGAGAAATAAAAATACAAATGACTTATATTTTATTGTCTGTATGCCCACTATGATAAAACACGAAGCAATTCTAAATAGCATTCTCAAATGTACAATGTATTATGTTTGAAGTTTATTTGCCTGGATTTATTCTAGAAATATTTCGTTGATAGTTTTTTTTCTATTTACATATCATTTCTTAGAATAAATCGATAAGGACACTGATTTACAAGTTTGACCAGAGTTTTTAGGCATAAATTTCATTCTGTATTTAAGTGCTTGAAAGTAGAAAATCTGAATTATATCAATTTGGGACACAAAATATATTGCTCTACAAATCTCGAACTTGTATGGAACAAATTTTTCTCTGTTATATATTTTGTGTTTTGTTTTTGTTTTGTTTTGTTTTTCTAAAAGAAGCCTTGGTGTCTCTCCGGTTGCATGTCCGTCGCATTCAGTGCTGCAGCACTTTGATTTATTATTTGAAATAAAAGCTACAGATAAAAAACTTCATATTTTGTCCGGTAATATGTAGGACCCCAGTCAATCTGGCAGCGAATTAAAATGACATTAATTAAAGGGAGGTAATAAAATTCACAAGTTAATGATTTTATGGCCACAAATTGTATGGTTATTAACAATTTTTACTGAATTAATATTGTTTAATAAAAGAACAATTGGACTGAATAAAATCGCAAGCGTTTCTTTCATAATTAAAAATGAAGAGATTGTAATAAATATGATGTACTTATATATAAATACATTGTTTAACGATTACTCACTTCCCCTCGGAGCGTGCACGTCACTGAGAAGGCACAGGGCATCGGCAGAAGATTTACAACTTGGCTGGTAGACAACTTAGATTTTGCCTTCAACCGTGGGCGGTAACTACGGAACTCCTACTTCGTCACTTCTGCGGACCAGCTGCCGATGTCCTGACTAATGCCGAGGGGAGTGGCCCTACTAAGTAGGCTGAGACGACGAGGATGGTGTACTAGGGTGCGTGAGCCCCTAGTACAGATAGACGGCTTGTAAGGCAGGCCTATAGCTGGCACCAACAGCCCTTTTCAGGGCTAAACACCTTTCCTATTGTCACAGGTTACTGTACATTTAGGTTCTCATTGACCGCCGTACAGTGACCTACTTTTCGGCTCAAAATTCATATCTTTGGCTAATACTCCGTGGAAATTGCATGGAGGTAAATTATCACCATTTTGTGCTTCAAAATTAACTCTTTAAGGACATGACTGGTGACATGTCCGGGGTCCGTACTCGACAGCGCAAGCTGCATTTTGTGCCCAAAAGGGCGGATGGACCCTCATTAAGCTTTAACTACATACATACTTAACGTTTACTACTATTGAGCATATAGCTGTGGTTTTAATAATTTGATTATAAGTTTTTCTTTTTCTTCTCTAAAATTGTCACTTTCGTTTAATATCTTATATAGAGGGAAAATGTTAAACAGTTAGAAAGGAAATGTTCGGAACCCTTTCCGGACAATACAGTTTTTGCAGCATAAGATAACACAAAATATATTTCATGTAACTTCTATAGTAAAAGAAAGTGGCATTGCATTCAGTGATTGAAATATTTCATCCATTTTTAGAAGAAACCTGTAATTTAGATCATTTACTTTATTTGTGATAGTTCGATTCAACTAGACACATCAAACAAATTGTGTTGTAAGCAAACAGTTGATAATTAAATTTCACTAACATACGCCTTTCGCATTACAGTTAAAAAACAACACAATACACATAAGCCAGGGAGACACAGTGTCACTTCTTGAGAATAGAAGTAAGGCGTTAACTGAACTTGACGACAGAACAGCAAAATCATTGCGTAAACTTGACGAGAAAACAGCAGAATCATTGCGTAAAATAAACACAGCCGAGAAACAAGTAAAACGGAAGATTGATGATGGTATATCTGAAATTGAAAAATCTGTAGAAAAGGCAAAAAAAAGAATTGTGAGAGAAAAGGTTCGTATTCAATACTTCATATCAACTGTGTTGTCAAGATCTACTAGGCAATGCTACATAACAAATATCTATGATTTTGGCAAAGCATTGCTCTACATGAATTTTTAAATGTATTTTATTTTCTTTTATAAGTTTAAATACACTAAGTACCCGAATTTAGACCAAAGATAATGTTGTATATCACTTTTGTCATTGTAGTTACCAAAAAGAAGTTTTTAAGACTTTATATACAAGTCCATGTAAAGTTAACGACATCTAAGACGGGGCAATTTAGATATAAATTCTGTAGTAGTCACAAACATTGCTGTTTTACTAAGGAAGACACACATCTTATGTTTGTCTATATAAACTAAGTGACCTTAGAGGGGCCACAGGCTTGACCAAGTTTGACCCAAGGGACAAAATTAATATAACTTTTGTAAAGGACCACAAGGTAGACCTACAGAAAAACTATCTAATATTTTTAGATTATTGGCATTGTATCTTATGAGAGGATTTTTTTAGATTTCATTTTTATGTTCTTTTAAAAGATTTTGTGACCTTATTAATAAGAATTACATAAACAATTATCCATAATATTACATTTTTATCTCTTTTTATTTTTACAGGGGCTGCAGAGCCGAAGGAGGAAAATTCAAGGTAAATAAATTCATCTTTTATGATTTTAAATAATAACTTGATGTTTTCTTCTTAAGTTATATCTATTAAGATAATGAGATTTAAAAGTTACTTTAGTGGTTATGGCTATCACGTACTATGCTGGTACTAACAGAACTGTCAACAATTTAGCTGAGTTTGAGTATAAGGTAAAAAGGAAACATCATTATTTGTATGTTGATCAGAAGCCTGTCTAAATAGTAAAATGTGACGTAACATTGTCAAGCTTGCTGAAACTGAGTGAGGTTTTATATAACAACTAGAGTGTAAAACAACTTTCTTGAAAGAGAACAATAACTATCTTAACAAATTGATTATTGCCCAAAATCAATTTCATGAATCCTAGATTTAGAAAATCATTTTTTGTCAACATCGATGTACTGCTAAATTAGTTTAAAAGAATACAAACATAGAATATTAAAAGTTATATTCATTAATTATTGCAAAGTATTTTGTTTAAACATCCGCCAGAGAAAATATAAATATATTATTCAAATATAAACTATCCTACTCTGTTATGATAAATTAAGATTTTAAAGCGGGCGCCGAGATGTCCTTTCCGAAATCAAAAAAATCCTTTTCTTTTATATGTGCAATCTTTAATAAGGCATTGTTCAGATATACTTGAAGCTTAAGGTCTTAAATTCATATAAGTGTGGCTTTAAAGACGGTGCTAGGGGCGTAAGGGATGTTGCATTTATTCATTATCTCTCATGTACATACTCATTCAAACCGAGCCTGCAATTTTCATGTACTTTTGTTGTGATTAATGCTTCCGAGGGATCACTTTGCTTCCAGATTTTTATACTTCACAACAGCAGGTATCAAGTGCTGTGTGGCAGCTGTAAAAAGTTGCCCCGTTCTTCACTTCAGTGTTATAATATTTTTCTGGTCCTTCGGGATCATTGATGCCAGCATTATTAAGTGTTGAGAATTGAGTACCGCTCAAGCCGCCGGTGCTAGAGGGCATGTTGGATGTTGCACTTATTTATTATCTCTCAAGTACAGACTCAATCAAACCGAGTCTGCAATTTCCATGTAAATAATGCTTTTGAGTAATCACTTTGTTTCCAGATTTCAGATCAAAAACTTTGAAACAAAAAATTTAATAGTTCTAGTTAAGTATTTTTTTTTATTTTTATTTGATAAAATAGTTATAAAAATTGATCAAGAAATAAAAAAAATAAGTAGGGGCAACGTTTTTTTTAATGAATTTTGGAGTGTGGTTTTCAGAAGGTAACCTGACTTGGCAACGAAAAATTAAATACGTCTAATTAATTTTCAATTTTAATGCACCTTTCCGGTGTTTACAGTTTTATGTAAATTGGCTAACTTGTTATCCAATCGCTACACTGAGATAATACATAGTCACTGGTTGACCTGGTTTGCACAAAAGAACACGTGGTTATGTTTGTGAGCAGTTGACCTAGCAATGAATGGAAAAGGTGTGGCTAAATGTTCCGCTACAAAAAACCGGAATGGTCCATTAAGACACCTTATGAAGAGATCTTTAATTTGAATCCAAAATGATCAAAACTGATAAAGAAGCAAAAACATGTTGGAGGGGACGCCGTGTTTTTCTTACGTACCGATTTTGAGAGGAAAAACAGATACACTTTGAAAGAAATTTTTAAAACATTTACTTAATTTATTTATATTTCTAAAGGTTCACAGAAAGTTTATGAAGTAATCTTTCATGTGATACCAAAATTGATTACAAATAAAAAATGTTAGAAGGGGCGCCGTGATTTCATTGTTTATTGAAACATAGTGGAGAGTGTCCAGAAGTTCGTAAATATTCAGTGAAAGAAATGCAGGACGTCATGCTTGACTTAAAATAGTTTAAATTTGTGAATCTACATTTATTTTGTCATTTTTTTCACTTTTAGCTCACCTGTCACTGATCTTTTGTGATGGCAATTAAAGTAAGAAAAAAAAAACTTCAAAAATCAAAAACCTAATCCAATTAATGAGCTAGAGCTTAGATATGTAACACAAAATAGCTTCGAGTGGCTCTTTACAAAGTTTGTTAACAAAAAGCCCTGGGGTCAAAAGTGGCGCGCCCAAGGCTCATTGATTTTCCTTATATGCATATTATACACAAAACAAGATGTTTTTCTTTCAAACTATAAATAAAGCTTACATGTTTGGTATGAAACATAGCAATCATTAACATCAATGACAACCACTAACTTGCCATAAAAAATCAGTGACTTTCATAGCAACCAGCGAATTTACATAGCAACCATTAACTTTCCATTCCAACCATCGACTTCCATAGCATCAATTGACTTTCCATAACAATATAGACGTTCATAGCAACCAGTGACTTTCTACTGCAACCATTGACTTCTATAGCAACTAGTAACTTTCAATGGCAACAATATACTTTCAAAGAAACTAGTGACAGCCCATAGTAACCAAAGACTCTTGTAGCAACCATTGACTTTTCATAGCAACAATACACTTCTTGAGCACCTAACGACTTTTCGTAGCATCCAGTACCTTGTCATCGCAACATTGGACTTTCCATACGAACAAGTAACATATTTTGCAACAATTTAATTTCAAAAGTAACCACTGAATTTCCATAGCAACCACTGACTTTCATAACAATCATAGTCTTCCATAGCAACCGGTGATTTTCTGCAACAACCTTGTGTTTTCATAGCAAATAGTGACTTCAAATAGCAATTAGTGATTCTCATGGCTCCATTAATTGTCCATAGCATCCACTAGGTTTCCATAGCAATCATTGACTTTCAATAGCAAACATTGACTTCATTAGCAACCAGACACTTTCCATAGCATCAATTGACTTTCATTAGAACCAGTGACTTCTATAGCAAACAATGAGTCACATAGCAACCATTAACTTTCAGTGGAAACTGATGACTCACATAGCAACTGTTTACTTTCCATAACAGCAGATGGCTTTCATAACAACCAGTGACTACATAACAGTAATTGTCTTTGCAATAGAAACAAGTGACTTCCATGGCAAACATTGTTTATTTTACATAGCAGCCAGTGGCCAGTGACTTTCAGACTATAACAACAAGTGCCTCTTCCATTGAATTTCATAGCATTCACTTTGGAGATCACTTATTTTGTTTAGAAACCAATGACTTGTTTAGTAACTATTGTTTTCCCTAAGCAATAGCAACCAATAATGTTTTTTCACGTGCACTAATGACTAATTCAGATACAATTATGCACTTTATGTTATCATTGTAAGATTTAGATAATAGATCTATATCTGTTTTTGTTAACAATATTGCTTGTGCCTTGTCATTAAAATTATTTAGGTGAGCGATATAAGGGTCATCATGGCCCTCTTGTTCATAATCCCAACTCTAACACTCCACGTTTTGTCACTATAGACAAAGAAGAAAAAAGCGGTGTTAAATTGCCAATAAACACTGGTTAGGGACTACTTGTATATGCGGCTGTAATGTTTTCATCCTCCATTATATAGTTTACATAGCCTTTTAAAGCAATTTATTTATATTTTCTCTTCATAAAATACCGAAATAATATCTCACATACACTAACACCACATATGTGATCCATATCAGTTAATAAATATTTTGACAAAACGGCGCCAATTCGTAAGCAGCGTAACATTTGACGTCATACACCTCATTCATAAACGCTGACGTCATTTCATACATACACGAATGATAAATCGGACACTGATGTAAACACAATACACGGCGGTAGGGCGTTTACCACAACTTTTCCGCGCAGCGTCAAAATATCATACTTCTGCCCGTCCTGGACAAAATAGTTATGGCGTGCTAGATTCTAATCGAATTGTAGGAAATAGCTTATAAAATATATTACTGTTAGACAATGCAAACTTTCTTCAACGTTTTAATTATTTCATCGAATTTTTGAAACATTTCATCGTTAATCTAGCACAACATAATTCGCAGAACATCACATATTTCGAAGAAATAGTGTTTACAAAAGGTCATGTCGACCTCATCATGACTTGTACTTATGCTTCAACGACGATGTGTTTTTGCTATGACCTGACGAGCCCGTGTATATGTAATGGTTAAGCATAAAATAATGTTCCACACAAAAGAGTGTGTTTCCATTGTAAATTTTTGGGAATATGTGATGCAAAATGTCTAACTGATGCCGACACGGAATTCTAACACCGCATTTTTATTCCGTTTGACTGAAAATATCTGGCTTTGTTTTCCTTCAAATTAAATGACACATTCGATGGAATGAAAAAATCGATGATTTTACATTGTTTTAGGTAAATTATCATCTGTTTTCTTGTCGTATGCAGTCTTGACATCCGTTTTGTATGACAGAAAGATACGGTGTCTCGGTCAGAAGTATGGTATTTTGACGTTGCGCGGAAAAGTTGTGGTAAACGCCTTATCACCATGCAATACAATTCATTCTAAGACGTAAGATTCTACTGTTGAAAACTTTTTTCTTATTATTTCTTTTGTTTAATAAGTCTATATATTAGCAACAGTAGTATGCGAAAATCGAACAGCGTTATAAAAAAAAATCGGCACTGGAAGCTATTTCTGCTTGAAAAAAAACAACAGTGATCTTCCTTATTTTATCGTGTTAGAATCGAAAAAAATATTGGTCTTAGCGCTGTTTAACTGCTATTTAACACCGGTTTTGTCGTTTTGATGCGATAAAAATAACCACTCAGGCCTACGGCCTTGGTGGTCAATGCATACGCGTCAAAACTCGAAACCGGTTTTAAATAGCCGATAAACACCTCTAAGACAGGTATTATTTCTTCATAAAACAAAGTCTACAATTTTCATGTAGTTTTGTATCTGAACACACTGCATCAATCAATAAATAGAGGATATTGAATGGGTGTAAGTTCAATACTGAATTTATTGCACGAGTTGAATAAAATTATATTATGCGAGCCACTGTCTCTTTGAAATTTTAAAACATCAACATATTTCAACTTTATACAAAGTAGAAATGTTATGTTTTAAACTCTACACACTAAAGGAGGCCACAATATGAATATATATTATACAAATATGGACTTTTTAGCTGTTGAATATGATGTGATATGTACTGAAAAAATTAATATTGACCGAGGCGATAGCCGAGGTCAATATTAATTTTTCAGTACATATCACATCATATTCAACAGTTAAAAAGTACATATCTGTTTTATTATATAATTAATAAATAGCTTTTATATGGCTTATCACATCTGCCATTGCATACGACGGAAATCATTATTTTTCAGCTTGTCTACTGTTTCCATAATTTGGCCCTTTCCATTGGCATGCTAATCCCTATTGTTCTTAAAAATGAAAAACAGTAACTAATATAGACTAATTTGACTCTTATGTACATCCAACTCAACGTTTTTTTCAGAATAATAACAACAAACTTGGAGTGACATCACGTCAAAGTCTCGTGTCTTTTAGGGATTTCCAGAAAATCTATTTTTAGAAGAAAAACCGGTGAATATACTCTGAAAATCTATTTTTAGGGGGAAAAAACAGTGAATATACTCTGATATTGACCTGTTATTTTTTACAAAAAGTTGCTTGTTAGCCAATCAGGGAAAGGCATTTTAAAGCTATTTATAGATTATATAATAATAATATATATTAAACAACTGGCAGGGTTTATTTTTTCTTTAAGAAAATGGAATTAAAGCTTTAAGGAGTACGATATGTATTTTATATATAGATATTTGGGACTCTGAAAATGAAAACGATGCTATATGTGGATATATGGCAATTTGATATAATTATTTGGACTCTGAAAATGAAAATAAAAATTTGGCAACATGTTGTAAGATATAGAAGATATTTGTTTAGTTCAGTGTAAGATCGGAATATATTTCACCTAGTGAGCACCAAAAGGTGGCGCAGCCACGAGTGAAATATGAACTTTTGGTGTTCACGCGGTGAAATATATAGAGGATATTTGTTTAGTTCAGTGTAAGATCGGAATATATTTCACCGAGTGAGCACCAAAAGGTATATTTCACGAGTGGCGCAGCCACGAGTGAAATATGAACTTTTGGTGTTCACAAGTATTCGCTTGTATTCACAAGTGTTCGCTTGTATTTCACTGAAACAACATAACGGGCTCAAATATTCAAAACAGTGAAATTATCAAATTGATAATTTCACTGTTTAAAACAGTGAAATTATCAGTTTTTATTTCACTGATATATAATATTTCTATAAACCACCGAAAAGCATGTAATTTGGACTCTGGAAACAAACACGAGAATAAATTGATAAAATTCGATCCGATAATGATTGATTTTGATCATCTCGTGTTTCAGCTAAGTTAACAGATATATCATATAAGGTGTGAAGTAAGTGAACATATTAATACAAAACGCCTAGAAAAGACAGGGGCACTCATTTTGTCTTTAAGAGAAAAGAACATGTACATTAGAAACAGGAAGTTTAATACATGCACTCGAAAAAGGTTAATACATGCAAGCAAAAAAACAAGACTAGTTAAGAAATGATAAGTTTTGATAAGCAGATTATTCAGATAAGTGTCACAATCATAAACCTTCTTATTTCTCAATTTATTTCAGAATTATTGTCGTTTTCAATTATGATGAATGAGTACGTATTATAGCTGACTAAATTTAATTATTGTGTTAGACTTTTCGACAGCGATTGTCGACCGTGATTAATCATGTTTTCAATGGATATGAATAACTGTTTGTAAGCAATTTATTTATAAACTAGTTTAGGTATATTTTGCAGATGTCGTGGTGGGTCTCCATAAGATGTGTCAGAGTTATTATTTCGAGAGTTTATTTACTTTAGGTTTATACAGAGTAATTTCAGTGTTATATCAAGCCTTCGGTTATATGTTAATAAACATTTATTTCAAGGCTATTGTAGATATAATAAATCTTTAAAAAATATCTTGTTATGAAGTTAAAGAAACAATGTCTCGAAATATATTGATTATCACTAGTGTTACAATTCTTCACCTGTAACCGGCCGTGATCCGCGTGGTAAACAACAAAGCACACCACCAGTGTTACCGTAATATTATTAATATTATTATTAAAGGTACATCATGCCTCAGAAATCCATGTATTTTTAATTCTTAAGAAATGTCAAACATATGTTTAGAGCATGTTAGATGTTTTACAGCTGAACAAGCAATAATGTGTCGTAAAGGCAGAAAAATGTAAATTAAGTAGAATTTGAATTCTATACAAAATACTAATTCACTATAATAATAAGCAAATTACCAACAGAGCTTGAGATACAAAAGACATTTCATGCATGTAGCAGATAAGTATGTTTTTTTTAAAACTGTAACAAGATGCCAAAAATAAAGTTTTTGAGAAATAAACATGTTAGCACTGCTGACGCATAATGTCCCTTTAAAACAGAGGAACAATAAAGGATCAGATAATCGAAATAAACACACGTCTGCTATTTTTTACCGTGAGACAGAACCTGGGTATGCAAACAACCACAGTTTTCATAACCTCAGATCCTCTTTCGAAAGTCCATTTTATTTAGTTGCGCCCATTGTTTTCTCATTTAGGGCACAAGCATTCTCTACTTGGAGACCATACGCCGCTTTTCATGGAATGGCACTACTGTTTCACATTTGATGTCCATTATTATCGCCATTAAAAAACATCTGCGGATGTTTTTTATATTCAAAATTTCACCATTTTCGTGTTTAAATGTTGAATTCTGCTTAAGCCTGTGCTAGGGGGCGTGGACGGTAACTTGCACTTTTCAGTACCGTCCATGAACAGGCTCAATCAAACCGAGTCTGCAACATTGTCAATTTTGCCGTGTTGGACTTTCTATATGGATTTTGTTTTTCTATTTTATATTGCAAATGTTTTCTTTGAAAAATTTCAATTAAAAGGGGGTTATAATTAAATGGCATGATTAAAAGATGAAAGCAATTTCACTTTTTATGCTCTTCGGTGCCTGGTATTATCATTAGTCCTTTTGGTTCTTTTTCAAGCGTAAATTAAATTTTAAATTATGTTTTTTCCCTTTTTTAAATAGGAATAAAATTTAGTTTGATATTTGTCTTTGAAAGTTTGTCTTTTGGGTTTGGGTTGCGCCCACACCACTAACTTTTGGTCCGAAACAAAGGCGGGGGTTTAGCTTCCGTACATGAAATAATCCAAAGTCCCGGGAGGGGAAAATTTTGAACTCCAGGGGTTTAGAGCGCAAGGGGTTTGCTTTAAAACGAATGCATTAGATAGCGAAAAAATTTGACGTCATAAAACAGTGTAAACTTTTCAAATTTTAAAAAATTTCCCAAAAACTCAAAATTTATACCCAAAAAATATCCCTAAAAAAAAGAAAAACATTTTATAACAAAACTTTCAAGGGTTTTTAATTTTGCACGGCCAATTATCTCGAAACTCGAAACAAAAACACCAGGTGCACAATTTTACATGCTGATCAACAGTCCTGTAACAAAGAAAGTTGACTCTTTCTTAAGGACTTTCAGATTTACACATGAACGCAAGCACGTGTGCGTGCACGGAAGCACATGCAAGGGCACCTCTAAATACGTCACTTTCAGTCCTAGAATGGAGGCATAAAATTCTTTCCCTTCTAACAATGTAATTAAAATAAACTGTTCCTTTTTTTTTCATTTTTAGTTTCAAACTTTGAACATTGTTGTCTGTGGTTAAACTTGGCAGTGTATCTTTTCAAAAGATATTTCTTGTTTCTACGTCAGATGAACTATTTTTAGATTGAGATGTTTATTACAGTTAAGTCAGTGCAAGGTTCCTTCCTTTTGTTTAGTAAAGACAGCAGCAGGCTGCTCAAAAAATAATTTATGATTTACAAAATATTAAGATGCAGACTGAATTGATTAAAAAATCAAGTGAGGTGCTCTGCAAATACAGCAGTAGGTATTAAAAACATGTTTTGTTTGAGTTTAAGTTCAGTTAATTTGTGTTCGTCTGCTTCGTTAGTTAAAAATATACAGTTACTGTACTACAGTAGCAGACGAATACGGTTCTTTTTCCGTGTGTTCTATTTATCTTACTAAGTATACAGTACAGTACATGTTCATATTAGGGAGAACTTAAAAAAAATTTTTTTAATTTTCAAAATGTAGATCTATTTAGATTAATGATATTTTGTCTTTTTCAGTGCATTTGAAACTGTGACACTACAAATCGCCAGTACTGTACTGTACATAGAGCTACTGTAGATCTGAAAATAATATAAAATCATTAAAAAAAATTTTTTCATATACTTTAATGACATTGTATAGTAGATCTATAGTTTTATATTTATATTTATAAATGGATAATGCGAGAATTATGTCTTTTTCAGAACTAAAAGATGATCTTATAACATGGTACAACCAGACCAATCAGAGTACAGTTTACCTTTCACCACTCACAGATGCTTTCCCTACACCTCTTGCGGGGTTCTACATTATGCCAGAAATTGACATACAGACATATCTGCCAGGCGGAAGGAAAGAAACAACTAGAGTCAAAAGTCGTTACAGGACCTGTTTTACATCTGGTAGAAAAGTTTCCCGTGAAATATATTTATCAGCTGTTGCTGGATTTGGGAAAACTGCATTTTCCAAAAAATATCTCGCTATAACATGGTGTCAAGCTCATAAAAAGGATGAAAATTACAAGCATTTTTAAAAAAAAAAGAAAATTTAAAAGGGTTTTTTTCTGCTTCGAAATTTTTTTTTTTGGTTTTCTATTGGGGGAATTCAGGTTTAAATTCTGTGATGTCGACGACATGAAAAAAAAACAAGTTAATTTCAAAAATCCCTTTCCGTGTCATCTTTTTATTGGGCCCAAAAAGGGCTATTAAAAAAAAATTTTTACGTGAAAGAAAAATGTCTTTTTTTATTAAAATGGAAAAATAGAAAAGAATTTGGGCAAAAAAATCCGGGAAAAAACGGATTGTAAAAAAACCCCCTTAAAAATATTCCACATCCCAAAATGCACCGGTTTTGGGGAAAAGTTTTTTTGTAATCTTGAAAAAAGCAAAAAACCCGGGGCCATGGGAACTTGGAGTCTCAACCCAAAGACAAAAAACAAAAAAAGGGGGCAAAAAAACCCAAAAGCTAGTTTAAAAATAAATAAAAAAAACGCAAGGCATTTTAAACTTTAATGCAAATGAAAAAGGTTTCGATGTAAACCTTTCAAAAATGGTTGAAAATGATAAATGAAGTGTGTAGATTTGAAGAATCAATCAGTGACCATGACCTTGAAGATATGGAATACACCCCTCTCCTGTTACTCTATCTTATATGTTTATGGGTTGAAAAAATTCCAATAGGAAATTCTGCAGTAGAATTATATACAGGCATTATTCAGCTCCTTCTATCTAGAACAGAAAAATTACATGGAATGTTTCATTCATCTTGTGAAATACCCCCTAGTTATGTTCCTGAATGTTTCAAAAAACATCAACATTGCTGTCGTTACTACACATTTCTAAAGACCATTGGGAAACTAGCTTTTTATACATTGTTCAGTAAGAAAAAGGAGCACACATTAGTATTTGGTGAAAATGTTGCAAAAAAATATCTTAATGAAGAAGATTTGAAATCAAGCTGTCTATCAGGAATATTGTCAGAAAGTAAAGTGAAAGCATTAATAAATGAAAGTTCTAAAATCTCATTTTCACATAAAACAGTGCAGGAATACTTTTCAGCAATATTTATAAGTTTTCAAAATACAAGTGAAGTTCAAAAAATCATCTTTGAAGAGTGCAACTGCTTACAAAATATTCTAGACATGTCAAAAGTTTTTGGATTTATTAGTTACATGAACCCCAAATTAATGTCTACAATATCAAGTGATATCAAATCTGTGATAAACAATGATGAAAAAACAAGCAAATACAGAACTCTGACAGGTTATGGTAACATGTACATTGATCCATTACAAGACATACAAGACATGTACATTTCTTGTACCAAAGAAAGCCAGGAAAACAAAGACCTCAAATTGTGTTTACAAGATTTCTTCATTAATGAAAAATGTCAACAAGAAAACTACTTCAAACAATTACAACATCTATGTCAACAAAATAAAGAAAATATAAAATCAATAATTATAGAAAATAAAGGTGTTTGTAGTCTACAAGAAATTATCAATTTGTTTACACTCTCTGACCTTCCACATATAGAGAAATAATTCTATCAAGGTGAAATTGTAGAAGAGGAAATAATGAGCTTGTTATTGAACCCTTTAAAATGTTTAACTGTGATGTCATGTACATGGAAAAATCCTCAATTTGTAGGAGTATATTGCCAGCTGTCTGCAGAGATAAATGGACGACTGGTAAAATTACAACACCTGGAGTGTTTATTTATAAGCTGTTTCACTATGACCCACAAGGTAATGGAGACATTGTTAAATTTCCTCACTAGTAAAAAATCAATGAAAGAAATAACATTGTACAGGTTATGCTGTAGTGATCACAAGAATACTTCATGTAGGGGATTCAACCTTGACCTGTCTCAACATTCACAACTAAGATGTTTAGGATTGAATGAGATACCTGTGTCACAATTAAACATGGATGTATCGTTGTTAGAGGATTGTAAGGTAGGTGAATTATATAAACCTGGTGTTGTGTCATCTTATCTCAGTCAACTACCAGCAGCCAGTAAACTACAAACATTTGTGTGTGGTTCTCTAGAATCTTCCAGTGACATAGAAACAATGTTACAAACATTATCATTGTTATATCATGTGAAAGATGTTAGGTTTGTTAGAATCAATCTAGGTGAAAGATCATTAACACTGTCACATCAAATGATCAATATTAAATGTGTTACCTTGTGGTATATAACAATGTCTTGTTCAGTGTTACATGATCTCATTACTGTTATAAACAAACTACCACATACAGTGACAGTATCTATGAGAGGTTGTGATATAAAACCAGAAACAGAATTTGAAAAGTTTAAAACATTTATAAAACAATCAGACAATTTTGTGGTCACCAGTGATGACACCTTGAAGTCTGGAGAGTATGGGTTTCAGTTTAAAACAACAACAAGTACTAAGTAACCTTAAATGAACTTGAGAGAAACAATTTATAAATAGATTATGAGACAAGTGACAGGTGAAATAGACATCATTTTTTATTTTTAATCAGAAATTTACTGCAGGACATAGATAAGGAAACATTTTAAAATGTGTACATGTAATTAGACAACTTGGATTATCTTCTGACAGTGTTAAGGATGGACTGATGTTTCTTTATATAAAAAGTAAGTTATTTATATTATTTTTATATTTTCTAAGTTTCTACAGTATAGATTTTTATTTTGAATTTGGCACATTTTAATGCAGCAACATTAAGTTATATTTTATAGTCTACTGTACAGGACTATAATATATTTTCATAATATTGAACTATTAGTCATAGACTATATTCTCCAGTTTGTTTGAATCACTTTCAAACTTTATATGAAGGAGTAATGTTTTAATTAAGGTTGACCATTGCTAATGCATAATACCTCCACTTTGAAGAGTAATCAAATAGGCTTAGAATTAGTTGTCAACTGCATTGAAATTGATAGATAGATTTTTTTTTTTTTTTGTTAGCTCACCTTCACAAAGTGACATGGTGAGCTTTTGTGATCGCTTTTCATCTGGCGTCCATCCCTAAAATTAACTTTTATTGTGCCTCCACTTTAGTGGCAGGCATTTAGATTTACCCTTGTCCTTCCTTCCGTCCGTTAACTTGTGTCACATGTAACAGGAATATTTGATCAGCATCATGTAGTTGCGCACTGGGTATTTTCGTATGGATATAATAGTGGTAAGGAAATTTGGACATGGGTCGAAAACACAGGTTTAGTGCTTTTAAATGGTGGCTCACCAACTAGGTTTAATAAGGGTTATGTTACATTCTCATGTATAGACCTTACCCTAACGGCCTCCCCTAAAAATTTCAGCTTCTTTGACATGGGGTTACAGTAGACTAGTTGATGATAATATGGGATCTGACCACTTCCCTATATTTATTTCGCAAAATGCAAAAATAATGGTGACACTTTAATTTATTTATTAAAATATAACTGTGACTAAGATCCCAGTAGTAGTTATAACATAAAAAGTCATGACAGGTCTTTAAAGTGATATCCTACTCCTCTTCCCCTCTGACATTAATTTGTAGATTTTAATATTTGTACACCTATACCTCCTACTTAAAACATAGGTGTTTATGGGACCCAGTTTGTATACTAAAGTCCCTTGACACCAGTATTTTCTAGACTTAAAATATTAATAAGCTCGAACCGTATCAGATATCTTCTTCCAATTTTGCATTAAATATCAATTGATAACCTAAAACACAAAATAACAACTCAGTTAATAGCTATTTCATTTAAAACAAATGCATAATAATCTGGTATCAAACAAATACATATTTAAGATTCCTATGAAAATCAGTGAAATATCTATAAATTGACATAATTTGACCCAATAAAACCCTAAATAAAACTAAAATGGAAATGAAACATCTATATAATTATATAACAACAATTAACAAACATCATTTAGGGTTTAAACGAAAAAATCCCTATCAAGTTCTGTGGTTTACTTAAAAAGTTATAGTTATTTTCCTATATATAGTATACCAACTTTAAGATAAATTATGTCAATTTAACAATAAATAAGGAAAAATTACTTTAATTTAACCTCCCCCACAAGAAAATGTTCATTATTTACAAATTTCATATAGTAATATTAATTAAGAGCAAGCTTTCACTGAATACATAAAGAAAACACCATCTATTTTCATTGGGAATTAAAAAAGATATGGCCATTTCTCTATGATATATAAATCTAATATTACGCATAATGGCTATGCATAGTACAAGGGAAGTAACTCAGAAAATGGGCAAATACTGATTTTTCAATAGGCAAACTGAATTAACTAAATAAATAGCTCTATAAAAATGATATGGTTCCAATAAGATTTATTTTGAGTATAAATTAGCTAGTTTTCATAAGTATAACATAATTCCTGTTAATAATATGGAAAATAAGAAGATTTGTAGCTATTAAAGGAAAATTACTGGTAATAGTACGAGTTGTCTCCCCCCCACTTATATATTTGTGGTTTGTTTAATACCACTCTGTAAACTTACTCAAACTAGATACTTATGATCATATGGAAAGTATTGCAATTGATTTGTTATGTTAATTAGTTGTAAAATGTCCTCAAATGACTATAATAAATTTCTATATATAAAACACCAATTATAATATGATTATTAGAGGGGAAACTTACACTTTATATGAAAAATACTGAACTCTGCTATAAATTATTGACAAGCCTGGGTGCCAGACCATAATTTTAACCTTAAATATCTACTAATAACCATAATTTTTCCATGAAACTTAAAAAACTTAATATGTTACATAATATAGTCGTTTTCCTTCCTTCAATATATATATATAATTATACCCCCAAAAACGAAGTTTGGTGGGGGGGGGTATA